AGAAAAATATTTCACTGGTTTTCAGCTAAAGAGTCATAAAGTCTAAGAAGCGCGATGGTATCTCTAAAGGATTCGTCAGTTAGTATGTTATTGCTTGTATTATTCTGTGGGATATTTCTCCAAAACGTTTCAGAAAGTCAACAGATTGCAGGTAATTTAATTACAACCTCAATTTAGAACTTATTTTTTATCTTTATTTCATTTTTTTCATTTTACTTATAGTCAACTCTTAGGTTATCAATAGCTAGTGGGTTAAAGAAAAGAGAATACAAAATGTATCGCTGAATAATAAGAGATCAAATAAGAGAGGCTAGGAATCTACTACAGGTTTTCCCCAATTACAATAGATCCTATCAACTAAACGGCATGGATAAATGATTTAAACTAAACTGAACTAAATCGGTCCTTAGAACTAAAAGGCTCGTTCACACGGGCGACGTACTTCATATACTTGAGGACATCGCTATTTTAAAACATTGCCGGAGCGGCCTTCCGCTTCAGTGTTTTTTTTTTTTTGGCAGACTTGACTAAGATAACTATATATCTGTCTAATATACAGCTAATAATATCGATGTGATTATTTAGAGATTTTCTTTTCAAATTCATGCATCACATAAAATGTATAATCACCTTTTTGAAAAGTAGATGATCTGAAACCGACCAAGCGAGTTCTACTACTAGCAACAGCACATCTAGCCTTCATCCAACCTGCACATGATAGCAGAAAATAACTGAAGAAAATCAAAACTCGCCATTAATTCAAGCTCGCTAGCTGTGGTCCTAGCGCGTTAGTTGTTTAGGAAAATTAAGCCATGATACATTTTGTTTTTAAGATATATTGCATTATTTAATTCCGAGAAAAACAAAAATAGATAGGAAAGCAAAAACAAAAAGATGGCGCTGGGGTTACTCGTGACGGGTGATTCCTGTCCTTTTTAATTTTTTTTTATTCGAGATTTCAATCCCCCCGTGATGCGTGTTCTATGATTTTGAAGTGATTTATACGTGATCACCAGGAATCCTTGAATCAAGGTTATTCATTAAGGGCATTTTGTGCTATTCGTTCGCTGGAAAAAAATTTCATGATTCGTGATCCATATCCCCTCTGTGCCACGTACCCTGCAACCAAGGCAACCGGGGTTCGATTCCCAGGTTGGTATTCTTAGTTCTTCCCCGCGTTCTCCAGTTTTTCTCCATAAATAAAAATACGTACTCGATGAGTACATGTGTCTACTGCTGATAGATACGCAGCAACATTTTTGAATCATGTATATGTAGAATATTCACTTGTAGGTATTCAGGGCTTAATATTCTGCTTACGGAGCTCAGTTATCCCTTTAAAGGGCTCAAATATTGTCACTGTAAAAATCTGAGTCAGTGTCATGAAGCGACATTGTTGACATGCTTCGTGTGGCACAAACACGCCAATTCAGTGGTCGTTTTTTGCAATAAATTCTTTCTAGGTATTGCAAATACCTGAAAGCACTTTAATTAAACAACACTTGACACATTCCACGAAACCAGTGTGCTTAGCTTGTTCCAAAAAACAGATAAAATTCACTACAAAAATGGCTGCGATTATCTTGTAGAAATCACTGTATCCTACCGAATCATGGTTTGATATGTTGGTCAAACGTTTCTCAGTCGATAAAAAGCCGTAAGCAGTCGCAAACAGAGCAGCTAACTTGACCAGCCAATACGGACACTGGTGAAAAACGCACTGCGGAGATGGCGTAGCGTAACTAAGGGCAACTTATATTTTTGATGCCGGTGTTTTGATTGTTTTACAAAATTGTTTTACAATAATAATAGCAATAATAATAGCAATAATAATAGCAATAATAATAGCAATAATAA